CAGGCCACCTGGGCTCAAATTCCTGCCTCGCCACTTTTCTAGCTGTGTGACTGGGGCACGCTGTTTTATTGCTCTGTACTTTGGTTTCCTTGGTAACATGTAAATGAAATAGAACCTACTTCATAAGGTTGTTATGTATTAAATGTAAATAAAATACATTTATGTATTAAATAATTTAATACATGTGAAGTGCTTATAACTTTAGCTATTATAATTATAGGAAGACTCTAGCAGCATGTCTCATAATAAATGTACCCTTGCTTTTCCTTAGGTCAGATGACTATGGGTAACAAATAGTAAGAGGTTAAGGCTTACTTCAAATTTCACCTCACTATGAGGCCTTCTGGGAGTCCATGTTTTACTTGACTTTTTCCCCTTTACAGTTAGCTCCTCCAGGGCAGAAACTGCCCATTTTGTGTTGTGTTGTGTCAGCCCTTTTTTATATCTAATACCTTGCATACTGCCTAACACAGAGTCAAATGGATTGAATGGCAGTGCCAGGGAGTCTGAAAAATGACTCAAGCTTGTGAATGGAGGGGTTGCCTTCCAAAACCTAGAGTAGCATGGACTGGAAGAAAAACCATTTACTACTAAGCTTTTATGTGCCAGACATAACAATCATGTGAGGTAGTTCATGTTATTGGGTTGTCGGAAAAGTCATGATGTAATTTTTCTATGTTTTTTGTTACAGAAGTGCGTCATGACTTTTCTGACAACCCACTATTATTATTGCTCTTACAGGGAGAAAGTTGAGTCTGAAACTCAACTCCTGCAATGTCACCTAACTGGCAGCTGACAGAGGCAGGTTGCACTTTATTATCTGACTCCATGTCAGGTGTTCTTCCTACTGCACCTCAAGTGTCTGAGACTGTGGTTGCCTTGTCTCAATGCAGAGCTTGTAGAAAAATTCTAGAGGTACTTTTATGTTCCTTTCTCTGGATTATAACTCTTCAGATAATTGTTTATATTTGGTCAGAGCTGGGTTTTTGAGCCGCTCGTGATTGGTGGTAGATGCGAATTGAACAGGTTCATTTTCTAAACATGCAGTTTCTGCCTGGACTTGGCCAGCAATGGGCCTGGGAACTAGTGAAACAGCCTCTCATCCCCCTTGTTTCTCTGCTGTATTCCCAGTGGGCGTTCCCTCTGCTTGGGAGTGTCTTCTCTCCTGACTAGCCAAAGGATTGGGCTGAAAGCATAGATGAGATCCTAGAGCTGCTCTTGAGGCCCTGGGAGCAGCAGCGGCCCCCAGCTAACCACACAGAGTGCTCAAGGGTTAGTTAGCCTGGCCCTCAGCTCCCCAAGCCCCCAGATTATTCCCTGACCCAATAGACCTGGCCTAGAGAGAGCAGGTGGGAGGGAGGGCAGTGAGAAGGATATATTTTTCATCTGTTGTTCGGGCCTTCTGGGGTTCTCAGCAGTGCCTGCCCTGGACGCCTTAGCTCCTGGATCACTTCCGAACACAGCTCTGCTCTTGCAGAAGTGTGACCAAGGATCCCTGCGGTGGGCTTGGTAGCAATTTTGATTCACTCCTCTCTTGGTTACATCTTCACAGGATTTTTCTTCTTGGCCCAAGCAAATGTCAAAAGCCCTCTACATTTTTCCTTCTTACTAAGTTGCCTCTGTTCTCACATTCAGCTACATAATAGCATTCCAGAGCAGTGGGTTCACCCTCCTTAGGTCAGGAATTCAGGAAGAGAAAGAATATATTTTTCATCATGTACTTTTAATTATTTCAGTTTCCGATCTTTCCCCAAGTCTTCTGCCCTTTCCCTGAGGGCCTGCCCTGGAGCTGCTAGATCATGTCCAGTGTTGTTTTGATGGGTTATGATGGTATTGTGACCATTGTTACCATGGGCACAGCTGAAAGTTGATACTTAGTGCGTTGATTCCTTGTAGCACTGTGCTCCCTGAGGACTCTGAGAACTGGCCTGGGAAAGCTTCCAGAGGCTGCCTCTTCTCTCCCTTCCTTCTGTGGCATGCCCAGCCATAGGCCAAGCACTTACCTTGGCACTGACCTGGTGCAGGTAAAGGACGTCTCACCATCGCCCGTGTGCATATATGCCCTGGAGGCAGGATGGCCTCCTCCTTCCCCTCTTCCTCCTCCTCCTCCTCATCACTAACATTGTACTGTGTACTTAAGTCTATAAACACTTTTTTCCCAACAGGTAAGGACGGCTTTTCTCCACTTTATAAAGGACAAAAGCGAGACTCAGGGTTGGATTCCCTTTTCCCAGAGCATCTGTAGTATTCACCTGGGAGGGATGTTTCGTTGCTGTCACCATCACATAATCGCCCTTATGTCTACTGGCTGTGTCTTCCCTTTCCAACTCCAACTCTGCCCACTGCCATCACCACCAGAATCACAACCCTGAGAGCATCCATGAGGTTAAAGAAATTAGAGGTAGCTCGGTTCGTGTTCAAATTAGGAAAGAACTATGAATGATATCAAGAATTAGGGTTTGGCTTATTTTTATCATCACTTGCACCAAGGTAATACTTAGATGGCCTCCACGATTAAGTTTATTAGTGGCCATAAAAAACATGTGTTTAACTTTCACATCCAAATAGACTTCATTTCGGTCAATGACATGAGAATGACAATCAGCATGAGAGAGCTACGGTTCCTGAATTGTTCTGCTTCTGTGAAGATGGGCGTTAGCCCAGGCCAGAGCGCACATTCACATGGTGGGCTCTCACATCCACTTTCCAAGGCACTTAAAAAAATTTTTTTTCCCTTAAGTTTTAGCATCTATATTGAGATATTCACATACCATAAAATTCACCCATATAAAGTGTATAATTCAGTTGTTTTTAATATAGTCACAGATTTGTGCAACCATCACCAGATGTTTTATTCCAGAATTTTTTTTCACCCCAAAAAGAAGCCCCCATTCTCATTGCAGTCACTTCCCATTCTTCTACCCTCAACCCAACCCTTGGAAGCTGCTAATTTACTTTATGTCTCTATAGATTTGTCCTATTCTGGACATTTAAAAAAAAAAATGTCATCAGGGTTGTCCATGTTATAGAATGTGTAATGTATCAATGTACTCGATTCCTTTTTATGTGTGAATAATATTCCATTATGTGGATGTACCACATTTTGTTGATGCATTTATCTGTTGGTGGACATCTACGTTGTTTCTGCTTTTAGGCTATTATGAATAATGCTGTTACGAACGTGTAAAAGCATTTGTGTGGACGTAATGTTTTCTGGGTTATATACCTAGGAGTGGATCATGGTGGGTCAAATGGTAACTCTGAGTGTAACTTTCTGAGGAGCTGCCAAACTGTTTTCCAAAGTGGTTGCACCATTTTACATTCCCACCAGCAATGAATAAAGGTTCCAGTTTCTCCACAACCTAATTAATATTTGTTTTTATCTGTCTTTTTGCTTATAGTCATCCTAGTGGGTGTGAAGTAATACCTTTGTGGTTTTGATTTGTATTTCCCTAATGACTAGTGATGTTGAGCATTGTTTCACGTGCCAACTGGCCAATTTTATTTCTTTGGAGAAATGTCTATTCAAATCCTTTATCTGCTTTTTAATTGGGTTGTTTGTCTTTCTACTACTTAGTTGTAAGAGTTCTTTAGTCTGGATACAAGTTCCTTAGCAGATGTATGATTTGCAAATAATTTCTCCCATTCTGTGGATGTCGTTTTATTTTCTTGATGTTTTTTTTTTTAACAGCGCAACAGTTTATTTTGACATCATACAGTTTATGTCTTTTTGTTTTGTTGTTGTTGCTTGTGTGCTTGGTGTCATAGCTAAGAAACCATTGCCTAATCTGGCATTACAAAGATTTACCTCTTTAAGGCTTTGCTTTTGTAGTTTTAATTCCTACAGTTAGGTCTATGATCCATTTTTACTTAATTTTTTTCCAATTATTCCAATTGTTCACTGCTAGTCTATAGAAATCAAATTGCTTTTTAAAAATATTACCCTATGTCCTGCAAACTTGCTTGATTTTATATATTAGTTTAAGAGTTCTTTTAGTGAAATCCTTAGGATTTCTACATACAAGATCATAACATCTGCAAATAAGAGGTAGTTTTACCTCTTCTTTTCCAATATGGATGTACCCTTAAGTTTTAAATTTTTCCTTTCATTATTTTAGCATAAATAATGGTGATGTATTAGCTAATTGTATATGATACATGAATGGACATTTTTCACTTTGTAAGTCCTTAAATATCTTAATGTATATTAATTTTATTCTAATGGGCATTGGAAAAAATAGGATAGCTCATAATTTTATGGTGTTGGCTCAAATGTCACTTTATTAGGATGTTCTTCCCTGAACATCCTATTTAAAATAATAGACCTTCTTTCTTCCTCTGCCTTGCTTCATTTTTTTCTTCATACCACTTATCATCAACATCCATATTATATACAAATGTATATATGTATGTATCATACTTATGTATCATACACACGTGACACGTGCATGCTTATTGTCTGCTCCCCACAGGATGTACGCTCCATGAGAGCAGACATTTTATTTCATTCTTTGCTGGATGGCTGTGCCTAGGACATGGGGTGCTCAGCAAATATTTGTTGACTGAATAATTGTTTAGGACAAGATTAAATATCTTAAGAAAGGCAAGTCAGTTTCAAGTTGATTCAAGAAAAATATTGAATAGATAGATGTTCAGGAGGTATGCAAATACGGCAAAATTTATAAAGGCTGTATGACATGCTAGAAATTTGGGAAACTCTAACTTAGGAAAATGAGAAGAGGTGGGATGGAGATGGGAGTTTTTATCATTTTCTGTAACCAGATAAATTGTCTGTTAGCTCAAAGACTGTTTTCCCAAACCAGATCGGGAGCCCTTGAGACTCTTAAGCTATAACACGTGGAATTAAATATATGTGGGAAAGCGGTTCCTACCACCCGCCACAGACACCCTCTTGGCAGTTTCGGAGGTCATCTGGAAATGTTTGAGGTGCTTTTGGCTGCCTGTGGAAACTTGGCTTATAGGTCTTGTCTTCTTTGCAGGGCTCTGGGTTTGCAGAGAGCCGAAATGACCATGACTGCCAACAAGAATTCCAGCATCACCCACGGAGCTGGAGGCACTAAGGCCCCTCGGGGGACTCTGAGCAGGTGAGTGGGGGATCACTGTTAGGGAAATGGGCATCAAAGGACAGCCAAATGGCCTGGGTCCTAGGTAGGATCCCTGCCAAAATGTAAATGATTATCATCATAACTGATAGTCACCCATGTAAATGATTTGGGCCCAGCTCGTGCTGACCATAAATCAAAAGTCATCTCTAATATACGAGTTTATACCATTTTCCAGTTCTGTAAGTCTCCATAGGAGAGAGCAAGCAGGGACCCTGAAACAAACTTTGCTTTGTACTATTGGGTGAGCCTAGAGCTCCAGGAAGGGAGCCAGCAAGAAGCAGCTGATGTTCTTCTGACTGTATCTGTTTCCCAAGATGGGGACAGCTTGGGGCCTGTGCCTGAGCTAGGGTGTGCTATAGTGAGGCAGGCTGACCACACTGGGGATAAGGGTGAGGAAGCAGTTATACATATTAGTACAAGTTCCAAGCAGAGATCTAGGTTCTATAAGAATTTAGGCTGGGCTGCAAACAAAGCAGCTTGGGGAATTTTAGTCAGTGTAACCTATAGTCCACTTTGCTGGCTTTATCATCTTTCTAAAAGTGGGAATGTAGGACCATAGAAAAACCATGGATTTTTGGAATCATGTAGAAGTGACTTCAAATCCAAGCTCTAACTACTTACCAAATAGTGAGATCTCAGGACATTTTCTTATACCCTCTAAAATCTTGGTTACTCATCTGTAGAATAATAATAATACTTATCTCACAGAGTTGCTGTGAGGATTAAATGAGGTAATATATGTCAGTGCTTAGCATAGGGTCTGGCATAAAGCCACTCAATAAATGTTAGCCCCCGCCCTATGATGGGATAAAAGCTCCCAGAGCTGGCGGGTAGATGTACAGCCTTCACCAGAGCTCCTCAGGTCTTGGCCAAGACTGGATGTTGAAGCACCTTCTGGAAGAACCTCCAGGCTCTTTTATTAAAGCCACTTTCCTTTCATAGCCCTTCTGCTGAATCTCAGATGGACAGATTTGGCTTTTGGTACCTCAGCCACTAGAATGGATAGCTATGAGAAGGATACTCAGCCTAGGTTGGGATGGCGCTGTTCCTTCCTAGACGTCTGGGCTGTGCAGTGACAGGCTGAGTCCAGTGGGGTGTGGCACACTCAGGTCTGGCCGCAGGTGGTGATGGGTGGTTGATTCATTCAAAGCTGGAGTCCAGCTATGGTTGGTAGAATGGGGTATAGGACGTAGCCTCCAGGGAGTGACTGGCATGAATGAGGCAGCAGGAGTTCCCTATACCACACATGCAGGGTTTGGCCCCAGTGGACATGGTCTGGATGGACTGCGCCAACCAAACAAACAGCGGTCGGTGGGTTCTGACTTGTTAAGTACACGAGAGCTTGGCACTTAGATTGAATATCCACTTTGTGACAAGCCCAGTAAGAACATCCCTGCCCGCTGCCCACGCACCTGCTCTCACCTAGACTGGAGTTGCTTGTATACTTGCGCTTCCCTGAACTGGGTGAGGCTGAGAATGGCAGGGAACTCCTTGGGTAAAACAGATAGGAAAACGGAACTCTCCCGGGGCACGTGGTGGCCAAGGCAGAAGCAGGTATCGATCCTAGCTTCTTTGTCTCCCATTGCCTGTTTCTGGGGAACCACTTTGTGGGGCTCTCACCAGGCTGGTGGCAGATGGAGACTGGGAATTAAGATTCCCATTTCTTTTATGTGAGACTGTAGGGGAGAAGTAAGCATTATATGTGATTGTATGGTTTTATTTTTAATTTTAAAGAAATAATATATTGAGAACCTGAATTAGAAATTACTATACTCAACAGCCCTTAACTCTGTTAAGGATTCATTTTTTTTCTTCTAATTTCCATTATGTGAGGGCTGGGGTGGGAGATGCATTGGTTACATCAGTCACAGAGCAGAATTGGGACTGCTGACAGATTTCCCAGTTTCTAGTTGGGATACATATGTACATGCTTTAAACGTTTTTAGAAATTGCTGTTTCTTTAGCTTCCCAGCATACTTGCCATCATAACATGATGGATGATGTTTGTAAATATCTGAGCCTCTGATGTGCCTAAAAAAAGCATTTTTCCAGCCTCCCTGCTAAGTCTGCACTTCCCTTCCTTCCTGCCACATTTCCGCTTCCGTCCCTCTCTCTCTCCCTCCCTCCTTTCCTGGGCTTTTGGCGTGGAGTCACAGGTCTCTGGGGCTAACTATGCCCTTCTCTCAGAGCCTACCATTGGACTGTAGGTGTTATTTTGAAATTGTCATCTGGTGGTTTCTGTGGCTGCCTTCACCCCCAGCTGCATCTCGGGGGTGTTCTTTGGGCTGAGCAGGGCAGTACAAGTAAATCACCAGTTCAGTTAGAAGTCATTGTCCGTGGACTCCGAGTGCTCTCCTCCTAGGAGCCAGGCTCTGGTGGACTGTAGGGGACGAAGAGGGATCGTCCGTTCTCTTTCTTCAAGGCATTTACAACTTGGATCGATGACCTTGGCACCTGCATTTCTCAGTCTGACCTTTCAATAGCTATTTGGCAGTGATCTGGGGCCCTTTCATCATTGTCAGTCCAGGAGTTCCAGTGGGACGAGACTCCCTGTTGTGACTGGAACTTAAGTTGGGGAGTGCTGGGGTGCGGGGGCCTTGGAAAGCTGGGCCTCTGACTCCTGGCTGCTTTGGGGATCTCTACATCATCCACATGGAGGCAGAGGAGCTCAGTGGTATTAAGAGGCATTTATATCTAGCTCTGGTGGCAGAATATACTCTGGGGCAAGGAAAACTGGTGAGGAAGGGCAAGTGGGACCCTGTGGAACTGTCAAGATAAGTATTTGCAAGGCTGTATCCTTAATTTGCATAAGACTTCACCTGGTGTTACCACTAAGCCACTATGGGTTAAGGACCCTAAATTCCATTCCATTATTAGGTTTTGATGGGTGTTTGCCAATTTATATTCTTCCTTTTCCTTTGTGGCCCAGTCTTGATTTGGCAAGATATGTATATAGGAGGAGGAAATCGAAGCCTTTTCATTTGACCGCCGGAGTTTTGTTCTTTGCTATGTTTTGTTCTCCTGGAGAAGTTTCCCTTTCTCTTTGTTGATGGAGCTTCACCCTTAGTTATCAGCCACATACTCCCCACAGGCTGTTCCTACCCCAGCTTATGAAATTTGGCTGCATCCAATTCTGGGAGTGGGAAGTGAGGTTCTCAGAGCTCCTCTGAGTTCCAGAGGCCAGGCTTTCCGACATTGGTGTTGATGAGCTGTGGTGGGACTACAAGCAGCTTGGTGACTTGCAAACAAGGATGTGTTACGTTTAGAGCTAACTCAGCCACCTAGATGGAATGAACTTTCCCACTTGTTGCTCTCAGGAGCTTTCACTTGTGCTGTGAGACCTGACAGGCAGCAGGGGCTGTTCCCAGAAGAGTCGTCATGCCTGCTGATTTCCTTGACAGCGTCTTCACTGTGAAACCCCAGCACCTGGGTCATTGCGACTTGGAAATACAGGCTGTCAGTATTGTGTTTGGGAACCTTGCTTCTGGATGTAGGTGTGGGAAAACTTCTTGGGGCCAAGACTTTGACTCACTTCTTTCCATCTCCCCTGAGCCTAGAAAAATGCCTAATATGTAGAAAACAATAGCTATTTGTTGACCAGTTAAGTCGATGGCTGGGAGGTCCGCTTCTTGGAGCATTAGCTACTGTACTATTTGAGTCCCTGTAGTACCTTCCTCGTGGGTCTTATTAACTTTGGACTCCCTTTCCGTTCAGTCCATAGACTCCAAATGGCACTTACACAGCGCCTCATCGGGTGGGTATTTGTGTGAGGCTCGTTTCGCTACTCAGTTAGAACTCTTTGCAGGCACAGCACACATTCCTGTGGAATGTTAGACTTAGAGTAGATCTTGGGATTCATTTGGCTCAGTTACTTGATGTTACATATGAGGCAGCTGAAGCCCACATAGCTAATTGACAGTGGGGCCTTTATTTCTCTCTCTCTCTCTCTCTCTCTCTCTCTCTCTCTCTCTCTCTCTCTCTCTCTCATTTTGACAAAGGATCTTTCAGTCCCACTCTAGATTTTTAAAAAATGGTTTATTGAGAAATAATTAAAGTACAGTAAACTGTGCAGTTTAAAGTGTACAGTTTGATGAGTACACACACACACATACCAGACACACTATAAAACTATCGCCATAATCTGGAAGCCATTTCTTAATTTGAGAATTTTTCCTATCTAGAGACACTGAGAATGAAACAAGTTTTATTTTCTGATCCAGAAAGCCCATTTATGTTTCCTTTAAATTTTGCTTGAAAATTGAACATTTCTTTTTTTTTTAAGATTTTTTTAAAACGGGGGACTGGGAGAGGGGAACAGCATTGGGGGACTCGGGGAAGGGGAACAGAATAGTTGCTGTCCTTTTGTTCTTCAGCCTAGTTGTGGAGGACGTTGCTTCACTGGCCCATGATAGTACCATCATTGCGCTCCTCCCGGGTGAGGCAGGTCGGTCGCCAGCCTTTGGACAGCCGCTCACAGTGGTTCTTGGCAGCTCACACTGGCTGCCAGCCACTCACACTGGCTGCTGCCCACACAACGGTAGCCCATGGCAGCCCACTGCAGCAGAGGCTGCAGCCTACGCAGTCGCCGGCAACTCATGGCAGCCCAGCTCCAGGTCAAGCTGTTGTTCACCGTCTTAGCTATAAAGGGCAGTGCCACTGGCCCTAATGTGGGATCCGAACCCGGCCCCTTGCTGCACAGAGCTGGAGTCCCAAGCCATCTCTTAACCAGTGTGCCACTCAGCTGGCCCCAACATTTCTTTTTATTGACTCATCTCTTTTCTCTTTTACTGTAGGTAGCTAGAATAAGTCAGATGGCACCTTCAGCACTCTGCCTGGAAATATCTTGAGCTAATTAATCTAATTTATTAGGCAGGTTTCCTATTTCCTGTGTTACCCTAGCTGACAGAATTACCAAACTTGTCAACATTACCATGGCCTTCTTTCCCCTAGCTTCTAAGAACGTTTTTCCGTTTTCCCTT